GCTGAAAGACATCATTGAGATGGTCGAGATCTTGGAACACTGGTGTTTGTTAGAGATGAGGAGAATGAAGTAGTAGTTCGGAGGCCTTACATTTGACATCAGGGAAGTTAGCTGAAAGGTTTGTTGACGCTTGCTTTAGTAGGTCGGTGGTGAACAGAGCCACGGGAATCACAGAATTTGACAGCATGGCACTGATACCTAGGATGGTTGTAGTGACTGGGGATTGGTCGATATTTGAACTAGGGAGACTTAAAGGAAACTTTGCGTCAAGCCTTTTGCGGTATTTGCTGATGGTTATGTCCCTATGTCGGATTGTTGACGATAACATGGCGATACTCTGGGGGTGGTAACCAAGATGTTCAACGACATCCTTTGCTGCTTCAACTGAACCAATCATTAGCCATATTTTCTCTCATTGGAGGGAATGAAGTCACGGCCTTAAACCTACGTTCTTCAGGGTTATCGGCAATTTCGTTTCCAAGTGTGGACTTGACCAACTCGATAGCTTCAGCCTCGGTCATGACGGGAACCTCTAGCTCAGTACCCCACGGGCAACAAGTTTTGTCTCTTGATGTCAAGATAATTCTCCCAGACAACGTGAGAGGTATGAAATCGAAGATGTCGAACGTAGCGTCGACGTTGTCCAAGATGAGTAGCCACCCACGGTTCTCGGGGCGCATCAGCCAGTCCTTCACTGCCCGCACAACTGCTTTGACGGTCGGGGTATCAAGCTCCAAGATGCTCTTCACTTTGAGCATTTCACCAATTCCAGTCAGGCCGAGATCATTCTCCACACGGTCTCTGGGCGCCTTTTTGGAGTAGTGGCAGACAAGGGACTCGGCAAACTCGAGATAGCTTGCCACAACGGTTTCCCAGCTCTCGGCCCACACCCAGATGACGAAGGAAATATCGCTTCTGTGTGTCTCTGCATAGTGTTTTGCAAGTGTCGTCTTCCCTGTACCGGCTGGGCCCCAGAGAGTGGCGATGCTGAGTTGCAGCTTGTCGGTCTCATCTTTCGGCCTGAGAATTGTATCAAGCTGCTCAAGCAAGTCTTCTCGACCTACCACGATATTCGGTTCACCTGGAATCTTGTTTGGGATGGAGAAGTCTTCTGTTGGAAAATTTAACGGGGGAGCCACAGCGAGGTTGAAGACTTTGTGTTTTTCATCCAGCAGCCCTGATACGCCAGCACTATTTATCATTTCACGGAACCTGCTGATGAATGCCTCGTAATTCGCATCCCGCCCCTGGAATTTGACGAGGTCAGAGTGAGTCGCATTAAGGCCAATTTGATCGCCGTCAGATCCCGTGATGGCATCGGTCTTTTTCACAACGAAGCTATCCTCAGACTTCTTGGTCTCGTGGAATGAGAGACGGGGTAGATTCGTCATGATAGCCTTGAACGCCTCGAGTTGTTTCTCTAGCCATTCGCTGTCGCTCTCATTGAGCTCAAATGAGTTCATGGACAAAGACCTTCTGCTGTACTTGGTGTCATCGTTCAGGCCAGAAGTCGTTCTGCGGATGACGTGAGCGAGTGGCGATGGTGATAATGGTTTCCCAGGCGAGAGTGTCCCGAAGAAGGCAATCCCACAAGTAGACAGCTCGATGTCCTTGAGTTCCACATCGGCAGCCTCGCTGGATATAATGAGGGCGCGCTTGACGATCCACCCCCCGAGGCTGTGGGCAATGAAGAATATCGGTCTCTTTTCTGTGCCATCCTTGCATCTCTGGGCCCCGACCTCTTTGACCATGTCGAGAGCGCGACCGTACAGGACATTTCGGATGACATAACGGAAACTGCCACCATCAGAAATGTACCCATAGGTCATGATGCGGGCATTTGGAATATCCTTGGCCAGCAACTCCTGGAGCCATGGCTTATGACTCTTGGGCTGGTTGGGGTCAACGGTGACCCACGACTTGAAGCCCTCGCTCCCCAGGCCATGAACGGCGACAATGCTAGAAATGAACTGTTTAGTACGCGCGCTGAGATAACGTGAAAGGATGAGGCGAGAGGAGAAGGGCGCACTCGATATCGGCATTCTTCGGGTCGCGGACGATGCGTAAGCCGCAGTATTCGCCATCAGCTCTGTGTCTAGAGAGCGTCCCCTTGACCCGATGGACCAAGCCTCTGATGGGCTCTAGTGCGTCGTCCATCTGCAGCTGCGAATCAAAGTCTCATCTAAAGAAAAGCTCAAGACTATAGCTTCAAGATGACGATGGACCAGAAGTCCAGCGGAGCGAGAGCGTGGTGTGCTACTGAGAAGTGCAAGCGGCCAAGTCATAACGTCTTACCCTGGATCTGGATGTGATTCCAGCTGGGTGCTTAGGTAAGGTCCACCCAACCAACCGCAGGCCAGTGACAGAAGAGATGGGGCCACCAAAGGTCTGTCCTGCTACAGTCTTGGAGCGATGGTGAGTATTTTCGACTACTTGAGACTACAATAAGGAAATAACTAGATAATATACTCTGAATTATCGAGGTGTATCATTTTTATTGTCCTATTATTCTATTTATTATTGTTTGTGCTCTACTTATAATTGGTGTGCTCATCCATATGGTGTATCATTTCTGTCACCCACTGCCTACCTCTCCAAGGCAGATTGAATTAAACTATCTGGTGTTGGTAGCACTTGCTGAAGTGCTGTACCTCGGCCAAGGATTAGAGGAGCAATATGCACCGAACATACGGGGATGACCTTGATTGACAACCACAAGCCTGGTGGGTGTCTAGATTATCCCTAATTATCCTCGCAAAGTAAGACTACCATACTCAGATTCATATTGCTTTTAGGGTCTTCGCTGAACAATTTCCAAAGATGTCTCAGATGCTGCGCTGGCTACAGCAGAAGCTATGCGCCTCATATAGCTCAGGGCTTTAATATTCTCTGCTGATGTATAACCATCTGCTGAGCGGTGTTGCTCCATGTTTGAAAGAGTGCTATTTGATCTCAATAATTGCTGTAGCTGGAGCACTGGGCTGGATCATGAAGCCTTCGCTTTATCCCTTGAATTCGTAGGAAAAAGTTATTGAATTAGAATATTTCTCTTCGGATAAGGCGATGAAATACGTATTGCCGAAGAGGAATCTGTGCCGTATATCCTCGAGAAAAAGTTCCAGTACTTGGAGCGCTTCCTATGATTATTGCTTCAAGCTCATGCCCTCTCACCAAATTTCCCACATCAGCCAAGGCTTGCCATCAATTAGTTTGTCACCAAGCGCAACAACATCAAAATAAATCCAGATTTTCTTCAATCGATCAAAACAATTTGAAATTTAAAAATCGCTTAAATATAATTGATAGATATAGGTTCTATTTCAATAGAAACATATCATTGAGATATTGAGGCTGGCTATTATAAGATTTTCCTACCGAACCACCACGCACATCTGTCCTGATGGCTAAGCTAGGCTTGGTATTGCTAATACCGCATACTGCATGGGTTACTGATGATTCAACTTGTAGGCGCACATTAGATCAGATTAGCTTCAACCCAGCCAGAGTGTTTATTCAACAACAACCGCCAAGATGTGCAATGGCTATAAGCCGACCTAGTTGTCTTGTGTTATGACGAGCGGTCGCTACGAAATCGGCCTCTCTGTCTTCTGTTAAGACGCGCGATCGCTGCGGGTCTGACCTAGCCATCTGCTAACGAGACGGGAGATTGCTGCAAACCCGACTTGGCTGTCATCTCTTGAGGTAGTCAAGCCATACGGGCCTGACCTCTCTGTCTGCTGCTGAGGCGAGGGAGTTACCAGAAACCTAGTCTCTACTAGCAACCCGGTCTCTACTAGCAACCCAGCCTCTACTAGCAACCCAGTCTCTACCAGCAACCCAGTGTTGCTGAAGGAGGAAGGTGTACAAACAAGTGTCTAAGATCGGGGATTCGATTCCTCCTCTCTCCAATCTTGGATAATTATCAGAGGACACCGCTAGCACTTGCTGAGGGGCTGCCGAAATGAACACAGCTTAGGACGATGCCGGAGACTTCGTCGCTGGCATAGTTGGTAAAAACTCACCGTTTTGATTTACTAGAAAACAAAACTCTTTTATGATGGGCCATTTACTGACAGTTACGTCCCTCATGTTTAAGATAGCCACCTTTAGAACTTCATGTTTGCTGCCCCAAAGTTTACTCCTACGATGATGTCGCATGGACGTTGTGATACCACATAGGCAAATCAAATGAAAGACTACGGTCGAGTCCTCAAGGTCCACCAGTCAAGAAGTGGAAATATAACACTAATGGTTGGTATAGAGCTTCTGGTATTCTCTTACCTGATATTTCATTAGGTGTAATGCAGAAGAATGTTCGATTGTAAATCTGAAGATGGTCGCATAGTGACGTACCTATGAAATACTATTTCTAATTAATAATATGAAGAACTGAAGACCAGTCCTATTTTCAAATACCGAAATGAACATACGGTGTAGAATACCACCTTGAAAGCTTCAACCTCAGACCAACAGTGTATATCTCTAGACACTCTAGCATTTTCAGCGTTTGTGTGATCCGCGCCCCAAACCCGAATCTCTCTCTGGTCTATCCATGAGTTATGATCTCCTACCAACTGTCCTGAACAAGCCATGCGCGATGTATGAAGACCTTAGCTGACCCGACAGTTCTCTGTATCTCGTATCCTCATATCAACTCGACTCTGCCACGTCAGCGCAGTTGGCTTCGGGTTTCGGGAGGCTTTTTTCTGGATGAACCAATGGAACGGCCGGAGGGCTGAAATGAGGGGAAAGAGGAGGGGAATTGCATTTGATTGGGAGGCTCATCGTCTCAGCCACTGCGATTCATGCGGTGAGATTTTGCCTGAGCGGCTGAGTTCAGTCGCCTTTGATGGTTCGCTCCGGCCCCCGCACCAGCTGTGGTCGCGCACTTCTTTCCCTTCTTCATATATCTTCAAGAGTATTCTCTCCTTTCGCCAAGTTCTTTCCTTCAACCCAGCTCGCACACACTGGAAATAGGCCCCGTGCACTTGAGTGAGACGATGGATCCCCTCTCAGTAGCCGGCAGCGTTGCAGGGCTGGTTAGTTTGGCGGATGTGGTATTCCGAACAGCAGCAAAGTATCGAAAAGAGGTGAAGGGCTCTCAGAAAGAAGTAGGCGATCTTCTAAATGAGGTCAAGAATACCTCTCTTCTCCTCCACAATTTGTCTCTCATAGCCTACGACCTGGAGAGCGGCGCCGTCCCTGGCCAGACCAGAGGCCCGAATCTCAAGCTAGAGCATCTTAATGATTGTCGAAATCTTCTACGCCGACTTGAGAGCGGACTGACTGGGGCGAAAGAAGGGTTTGAGCTGCCCTCGCGTCTCGACAGGCTGCAGGCTCGTTTAAGATGGCCCTTCTCTGCTTCAGAAATGAAGGAAATGATTGAGTCATTACGAAATCAACAGAGATTTATAAATACATCTCTCACGGCAGATTCAATCACGCAACTCGCAGCATGTCTTTCTCAGCAACAGGATACAGCGGGACGAGTCAAAGAGCTTCAAGCCACAACGAGCCAGATCCTCGATGTCCAGACAAAAATTCAACTTGATGAACGTAGGGATCGCGTCCTTGAGTTTTTTCTTATGGCAAACCCTCAGTCGGAATTTGAAATGAGTAAAAAGCTGCGACATCCACTTACTGGCTTGTGGCTCACAGAAGGGGAGGATTTCCACCGCTGGTATAACGATCCTGGGGCGAAGATATGGCTCAACGGTATCCCGGGAGCGGGAAAATCGGTGATAGCAGGGGCGATCACTACCGAGTGTTTTCTTCAAAATCAATCAAACCCTGGACGCGCTGTTGCATACTTTTATTGCACTTATCGAGATCCGGGAACTTTCTCAGCGTCGAATATCCTGTCATGTGTTGCTGCACAACTTGCCCGACAAGACGAGAAGGCATACGCATTGTTAGAGACGTATTACAACGGGTTACGTTTGGGGGACTCTCTTCCAAAGGATCCAACTACCAAGGGTCTGCGGGAAGTTCTGAGCACCATGTCTACACTCTTCAACCGGGTGTATATTATTATTGATGGGCTTGATGAATGCGACAACGAAGTTGAGGAAAATATCCAATGCCTCCTCACACTTGCAGGGAATAGCAACATTAAGAAACAAGTCAACATAGCTCTCTTAAGCAGAGATGAGGTCTTCATTCGAGAAAATCTCGAAGTTGAGTTCAATGTTATCGAAATAGAAGCCCATACTGAAGATATTCAACTATATGTGGCTTCAGAACTAGAGGAACGGATCAGTTCTGGAAGACTCAGAATTAGGGATGTGAGCCTTCGGGGCCATATTATAGCAGAACTTGTCAAAGGAGCGAAAGGAATGTGAGTAAATTCTCCGTTTTCGATCCACCGATGCTAGAACTAATCACTCAGACACTTAGGTTCCGATGGGTGGCTTGTCAACTTGATTACATGTGTGAACTTCCGACAGATGGAGCGAGGCGCAAGGCATTAAATCAACTTCCACCAACACTGCCGGCAACCTACGAGCGTATCCTGTTGAAGGTGGATACTCGGAGCGAGCAGGTGAAATCCCTGGTGAAAAACAGCCTTCTTCTTATCGCCCACAGAGATCGTGACCTCAAATCTCGCATGATTTGCGAGGCAGTATCTACTTCTTTAAATTGCACTAGATTGGATGCCGATGAAATAGTCGAAGACCAAGAAATCTTGAGATGGGTTGGAAGTTTGGTGCGGAGATCCAACGACGGGGACCGTTTCGAATTCGCACATTTCACGGTGCAAGAGTTTCTTGAGACTATTTGCCCCAGCCACCCTACTCTGAGCGCATACAGCGTATCTCAGGGTAGAATTCACGGATACCTGGCTTCTATCTGCCTAAAATATTTGACCTTGGAGAATTTCCTACCTTGTGGCCCGCAACCCACCCCTGAGGATATTAGGAATCTTTCACGACTAAGAAACTCGCGACCGTTTTATGCATATTCTGCAATCTGGTGGCCAAGCATTCTGCGTCAAGGCTCAGATGAGATCGAGGACAGTATAAATTTCCAACTCCAGGAATTATTTCACCCCCCCAAAACGATTAAATTTTGTCTTTGGGCAATTGAGCTAGTACGGCACTGCTGCATATCCCTCAAGGTCATGAAGCTACGGGACGGCTTCTTCAACGATGAAGAAGAAGCTGCAGTCTACATATCAGCTCTACTCAGGCCAGACTTTACTCCGTTGCATATGTCAGCTGCCTTGGGATTTCCACGACTTACAGAGCATTTAATCAACATGGGTTGTAGTCCGAACGTGACTAGCAGGTTTGGAACCCCCTTGCATTGCGCTGTTGGGGGCCTTTCCATATTTTATAAACGCAGTGCAGGGATCTTTGAACGCAGCTTGGGTCTACCGAATGGTAAAGCAAGACGTGATACAGTTCAGCTACTTCTCAATGCTGGCGCTAGCCCAATTCCCAGATTTCAGTCAGATTTTAGGTCTTCAGGTATGCTCGGACTTTCCCCTCTCTTTTACCTCAACTCGCTGGAGAACTTTGAAATTATCGTCGATCTTCTTCGCGCAGGCGCCATTGTTGAAGACGACGACCTGGAAGTCTTCTCTGCCATTTATGACCGTGCTCGTGGATGGTCTCGAGAGGCCGAGAAAAGGCAGGAATGGAATGATGGCCAAATTTTGAAAGATTTGATTGAAGCCCTTGGTGCCCCAACTGTGGATGACGGGGCTCGATTTCAATTATTCTCCATGACAGTACAATTTGTCGCAAGGCTGAAAGATATAACAACGGATAAAAGGCCTCAAGAGGAATCTGTTGAGGAAGAAGATGTCATCTCCATCTCCTCTATAATTCGCAACAATGATGTTTCACCATTAGGTCGATTTCTCCAAGGCGGAAATTTAGACTGGTTGGAAACTACAATACCAGACGAGGGGGGAGAAGGGCTGAAGCCAATTCATTTGGCCACATTGGAAAGATCTCTAGATGTTCTGGGTCTGATACTTGAGAGCGGATGCGATGTCAACAGCTTGATGGGCGACGGAAGACCGGCGGCAAATTTATGCTGGGAGGATAAACGGGGGGAGTACCTCAGGCTCCTGTTAAAGTACGGGGCTTCTACTATCATCAAAGGGCGTGATGGCAGATCCTTATGGCATACTGCTGGCATAGAAGACTCTTTAATCATCATGGAAATATTGCTTCTAAGTGAGCAGCGGGATCAAGGGTTACGGACGATGTCCTGGGAAGGGCAGACTCCGATCTGCGCTGCTATCTCTGCACGTTGTTTCAGTTCTGCTCTTGTTATGCTGCCCTACTGCAACACGAAAGAATGCTGGAAATCGAACACATCAATATTTCGCGATGCCATAATGCTCGGATCTTCTACAATCCTCAAGAAACTTATCGAGGTTGGTGTTGATTTGGACGGGGTGGACAGTGGAGGGTCGCCGCTTCATTTTCTGCCCGAATTCCCAGACCAAGAGTGTGTGAACCTGCTTTCCTCACTGTTTGACCTGAATCAGAGGTCGTCTGTCAACCAAAGAATTCCATTTGAACATTATATTTCTCGCACTCTAGGCCAAGGGGCCCACGCCAATCCCGAGATATACAAAATCCTTTTTCCACAAGAGGCGCTAATACAAACTACGGAATCATGTCGTGTTTGGACAAACATATGCGAAATCGTTGCTCTACCTAAGAAGTCCTTCATAATCGGAATTTCTTGGGGAAAGGAAGTACTGGAATATCTCATCAACATGAAGGTTTTGGAATTGTTTGAAACAGAACGGCATTTGTCAGGCGTGGTTCCTCTATGCGATGCATTTTTGCGTGCACTGGCGCAACCAGACTTCAAGGCGGAATCCTGGAATGGATGTATATGCATAGATGGGACCTTCGGTATACTATCTGGCATTTACTGGGAGTATTTTTCAGCCATGTTCATGCTAGTTGTTGAGCAAACAACGCTACCAACAGCCATTATGGCCAATCCCACCATTCTGACAGCCTTCAAACACGCTATCGCACAAAATGATTTGCCCTTGGTCAGACTGCTTCTGGAAAATGACGCAGAGCTCCATACTGAAGTGGACGGGCTGAGTGCATTCGAAATAGCCTGTATGGGTAGCCTATCCAATGATGTATTTACCTGCATCATAGAGCACTCACAGGCTGGTTATCTTCAAAAAGCAAACAAGGCCAAACTGGGGTGCGGGCCACTTCACTTTGCTTGTTCTCTACGAAGTCTTCCACAACACGAAGAGAGGATTCGTGTGCAGAATTTACGCAGCCTGCTTCAAAACATTGAAGATTGCGATGTACCAAACTCGGAGCAGGCAGGAACCCCATTGTTCTACCATGTCATGAGAGGTTCCATAAGCACAGCTGAAGTTCTTGTCAAAGCGGGCGCAAACCCATGGATAACCTGTGCTTCTACGGGGTACAACTCGGTCATGGCGGCAGTCCATCAAGGATTCTCATGGGGATTCATTGAGATTCTTACGCAGAATGAGACCCACCCACCGCAGTGGAAATACACGCGAAAAGATGGAGAAACAGTTCTGCATGTCGCCGCAGCAGTTGGCAACTGTGATTGCCTGGAAGTACTACTAGACAAAGGCATTGCTGGTCACTCGCATACTCTCGACAAATATGATAGAACACCTATGCATTACGCAGCAAAGTGCGGCCACACTGAAGCTATCCGTATTCTTGCCCAAAGGGGAGGGGATATTGATATGAAATCAAACAAAGGCTTCACACCGCTGCACTTCGCAGCGGCAAATGGTCATCCAAGTACTGCGAGGCTTTTACTTGAAATGGGAGCCAAGCAGTTTGAATGTTCGAACGGGTGTACCCCGCTGGTATATGCATACATCATAGGTAATCCTGATGTAATCAAGATGCTAACTACTCAAGCCGACGATGTTCAATCAGCGGGTCTAATCACAAAACCAAAGGCACTACTTACGATGGCAAAGGCTTTACGCGCTGCCGTAATGAACGACGACTATGTTGCATGCGAGAGGCTCAAGAATCTAGGTTGCCCAATCGATACAGAACTTGAGTTATCAGGACAGTGCATGACTCCCCTGATGCTTGCGATGTGTCAAGGGAAAAGCCCAAAGCTGATAAATTGGCTGATTGAAAACGGCTCCCTGATATCTATCGTCTATGGATACCCAATAAATGGTTATCACTTTTCTGTTCTAGATGTAGCGATTACGAATTCCGTTTATGTTGGCTTTCTCCCGAAGCTGATCAACGCCTTTATTGCGGAGGGAGGCGATTTACTCAGCCTGCCACATAATATTCTCTTCAAGGCAATTCGTCATCGAAAACACGGTGCGTTGAAAATCCTACTCGAGGAAGATTTTAAAGACGTCGCCACCATAAATAAGTCAGCGTGAGTAGCGAGTTAATACACGACTGTTGAACGTCAAGCTAACTAACAAGCTTCACATGTCACCCTGAAAAACTCAGCCACGAGGCCCGGTCAGCGATCATTCGTCTTGTCAATGAACGCAATAAAACAAAATTCTATCAAAAGACTCCCCTCATAGAAGCAATTTTATCAAGAGCTGTTGATGCTGTGGAGCTTTTGATACAAGCTGGAGCGGATGTCGAGTTGGTGGACACACTTAACGGGAGCACGGCATTGCACCACGCAACTCTCGCGGGATCCGTAGATATAGTGCAGCTGATTCTTGATACCGATTGCCTCGTTGATGTACGAGATAAGTGGCAGAAAACGGCCATCGATTATGCCTTCAGTTGTGGTAACCTAGATATTGCCCGTCTACTGCTTCAAGCTGGTGCTCAAGTAACATCGGAGAACAGCATGCTGTTGGTTCATCGCCGGTCTTTAGCTCACCTATTCAACCACAACTATTTCCGGACTTCCGGGTCTTTGGATCTACAAGATCCCCTACATATTCCAAATACAATGAATAGCCGTGAGATATCCAACATAACGGCAAATATTCCTATCCTGCGTCGACATATGGGCCATGTTAAGTTATCAACTGTTCTGAACTTCCATTCTTCTGGGAAGCACAACGTTTTGTGCCAAGCGACCATCCTGGGCCTGATGCAGGCAGTTAAAATGTTGGTTGAATTTGGAGCCGACATTAACTATCTATGTGAGGATCACGGTACTCCCCTAACAGTGGCGGTTCGTTTCCAACGGTTCAAATTGTTCAAGTACCTTTTTCGGAACGGCGCAAGCACGGATAGTGGCTCCAAACCACCTTCGAATGTTCTTTCAAATGCTGATGGCAAAATTCGTCACATTATTTTGGATTGGGTACTCGTCACTCGGCACACTGAACAACGCCGGATTACCTATGAACAGTTGGATGTGGACGAGAACATTACTTGCCATTGGGCAGGGGTGAAGACGGCTGTAATAAGTATGAAATGGGGATGGAAGAAACGTCGCTTCGAGTCCCTGCTTAAATATGCTTCTCGACTGCAAAACATAAAGAGATCGCTTCGAGGCAGAGTCGTCAGTCCCTTAGAGGTAAATCTATAGTCCGAGAACTGATCTGATTATATCGCGAGAGGCAGGGCCAGATCTAAGGTGAACAGAAGGGGAACGTGCCCTCAAAATTTCAATGGCGATCAGGGCCAGCATCATGAACTCTGACCCTTCGTCAAGATTTGCTCACCAGAAGGGCCTGTGAATATCATCTGATGATTGAATATCATGAACCCCCTCCTCTTGGAATATATCGTCGAGTTGGCATCAACGGCTACGCATGATCTCGATCTCCTCAATGACGAGCGTTGTGAACCGTTCATTCCCACATCGAGGAGCTGAAGCGCTTTATTGTCGCCGATGAGAGTTGTTACTATAAGAATGCATTAGCTGGAAATGAAAATAGGCAGCAATATCAAAGCATTGATCGCGGATGCGGAGGATTGTGTGGTGCTTGGGGCCAAGAAAATGTTGATAGAAGTGGTAGAATCGTCGTTACGATATCGCACAACGGGGCAGCGGTGTCATTTCATCGGAAATCGGTGCGGTTCTTTCACTTGGCTGCGATGTAGCCCTACAGTATCTAAATTTATTGGTCGCGGTGGAAGGTTGCAGCCATGGCTCATCGTATGTCAACCTAGAATGAACCAGTCACCACACACACATGTTCTGACAATAAACCTCATGTCGGACAATAGCAAGAGAAAGATATGCAATCGCACGTTTATTGTACTCATCCAAAATATATATTAATCTAACTAAATGCATGCCTTCTGCTTCTATTGAATCCAGAACAACAGGGAAGCTGGCCTCCCACTCCCTTCTCTACCACCGAGGCTCCCTGGCAGGCTTTGTCTTCTTGGGCTTGATCGGCTCGATCTTCGGTGTAGGGGCATATTTGTCATAAAATGGTCGTGTCTCTAGAGCGTTAAGGTCCCATTGCGAAGGCCACTCCTCGTCAACCGCGATACACTGGCTGAGTGGACTACTGTATCCGCGAGACTTCATGAGGGCAGCCAAGTTTCCGTCAGAGTCCCGAATGCTCCACCGCTCATCCTGGACGCGGTGCGATTTACGTTCTTTGTCGAGACTTGAGTTGAGGTACTGGCTGAACCTTTCGATGCTGTGAATTAATTGGCCCAGCTTGGCGAGCTGCGTGGCCGAGATTTCCTCCACTTCTGGCTGGCCATGGAGGCAAGAATCGGAATCACCATTTCGCGTAAAGTCGCAGCTGTTTCCGTCCGCGCCTGGGCCGATGCTCGAGTCTTCTTCGGACGAAGAGTAATAGGAGTAAGAGGAGGAAGAACAGGAAGATCTTGAGGTTGGAAGCGTCAGGATGGGGTGCAGCTCTAGGAAATCGCTTAGGAGTGTTGATGCGGCTTGTGAGTCCGTCTGAGCACACTGGTTGAGAACCCAGTGTTCCGTCGCACCGTTCTTATAGAGCAGTAACGATGCGGTGTCCTGACTGTGTGCCTCTATCTTCATGATGCTCGTCGTAAGATCACAAAGTACTGTTTCCTCCCACGGGGTAGAGAGAAGGTTTGGCGTCGCGAGGATATGTTCTGGCTTCTCCTCGGCAGATTCCTCCACCGTCCTTGTATCGCTGCATGGTTGAGAATCCACGTCAGAGTCCTCGAATCCCCAGTTGTCTGATGACTCGCTTCCATCACCGATCTTATGTCCGTCTATAAGTTCCGTCTCGGGGGGAGAAGGTTCAGGCAGTGGTAGTTGAGGGGCGGAAGCGATGATCGTATCCCAAGATGTGCACTCGGCTGCCCGCTGGCGAATCCTTCGTAAGCAATCCAAAATGGTATCTACCCTCCGAACAAGAAGAGACCGGGCCTCGATGGAGAACTTTGTCGTCCGTCTCGCACTCCATTCGCATGGCATGGTGTAGGGGTGGGAGATGGAATGAGTGTCTGTCTAGACCGGCTGAACAGCAATCTCTTTGTAATTTTGGGGGCGGAAAGTTGTGAAACGCTGAAGCATTCACAACATAAGTCTGAAGGGGCAAATATGTTGGGCAGAGGGAAGTGAGGATGGAAGGACGAGGATGTAGAGGGTAGACGGCTGAACAAAATAAAGGCAAAAGCAAAGTTTCCGGGTGTGTAGGACTGAATAGGAAGATCACACGGAAGAGAAGAAGGAAGAATGGAGTTTAGGAAGGGAGAAAAAAATATTTAGGCTTCTGCTCTGAGAGTAGGTACCTAGAGAGTACGTAGTTTGGGGTTTTGGGTGCCTTATAGGTATAGGCATAGGGGTATCTTAAGTGCCTTAGGTAGTAGTAAGTAATAGTAGCAGAGTAAGAGTAGAGAAGTTTGCACTTGGAGGTACCTCGATCAAGGAGACGACTTCAAAGGAGCGGGAGAAGAGGCACACACTTTTGAATACAGCAGCCAGTGGCCTACAGGCCAGCTCTAGGCCCTGTTTGTGGGGGGGAAGAGCCAGCAAAACATTCGTGAATCACTGCCTGCCTGCGTCGATCAATGTAGGGCATATCAATAGCCGCATTGTCTGTTGTTCACGTCATGCCACGACCCTGGAGAGCACCGAGGGCAGAGGTGCAGCCAATGACTTGAATGGAGGGCTTTGCTGCAACAACTAGAGATGAGCGAGTGCGAGAGGAACACGCTGCATTGCATAAAGCCACTCGGAGCACGTATCATTGAGGCCCAGGGCGTGTGTGAGATTCAGGGAGCGATGGAAGGGGGTGGGGGAATGCGAGTCTCGCGTGTTCCTATAGAGCCCTGTAAGGCAGAGCATAGCCGAGGGCAGCAGCAGCCAGGCCTGGAATCCTGTCAGTAACGTGTTTGCCTTAGTAGACTCAAGTGAAGATGCCATGGAAGGCCCGGCACTCGGGAAGCAGACAATCACTTGCATGATGGGACCAAAACCAGGCAGATGGGGCAAGAGCAGTGAATCACGGCCAACAACAATGACAGTTGCATTCTGCTGTCTCAGCCCAGGCAGCCAGAAGCATGCATAATAAAACGCAAATACTACCCAATGTGCTTATTCGGCAGCAGGTGGAGTGGATGAATGGATTAATGCATGTCTTCGATAAAGACTGGAGAAGCGTCCGCCCTCCCTATTCGTGGATCCTTTTCTCATGCATCTACATACGTATTCCTGCACTCCAGTCAGGCCGCCCCATTTGGTACTGTCGCAAGTTGGCAGGAATGGATGGGCTTCGAGCCGTGTTTCACGAAGAGACACCGAGAGAGACCAGAGGAATGTAAGCCGAAACGCGTGTTGGCTATATGTGAGTATTGCCAGAGCTTGAGCTCACCTATCGAGGTGAAATCAATTGGGGACTTAAATTTCTAATTATCAAAGTGTCGACTATTCATCCATGGTGATGAAAAGCGCAGCTCATTCTCGATTTTGATTCCGGAAAGAAGAGAGATGAAATCGCGACTCGTGTGAAGCTGCCCTCCGCATCCCAACTCCATACCAACATGCACCAAGATCGCAGTGGCAGCCAGTCATCGAAGTCATCCCCGTTGGTTACAAGTTAAATCCTACAAGAATAAAGACGACAACACACCGAGACCTTTACGCACTTCGTTCGTCACGAGCCTGCTTTGCCAAGCACAACCATCAGACATCATCACACCCGGTCGCCTATTACCCATCGCCCAGACGATAGAATCAACCTAAAAGAGGCCGCACATCACACGTCAGGCACAAGAGCCTCGACAAATTCTAATCGTGGCCACATAGCCAGTGTCTTTCCTTTTCCCCTTAGAATCATCCTAAACACCACGCTCGCACGCAGCCTTGAACCGTCGGGACTGCCTCACAAAACACGAGCGATGACTGACAGTACGCCATAGATCGTACCGACCCGGAATGTTACCAGACTACCCAGAATATCTATTGTGGCGTTCACACCATCTCGCATAACCTTCCTTTGTGCGACCAGTTCTCTAGCGATATTCAGTATTTATAAGCGAGAGTCGCGGATTCAACCTGACCCTTCATCGCACCCCTCTTCTGACAGCCTTCATGCCATCAGTCAACTATCAGCTAGAAATCCCGTAACAATCGGCTCAGATGGGAGGCTTAGCTCAGTGGGATATGTTAGACTTCGGAGTATTCCATCCCAGCCTACGCTCTATCAGACGACTTCAACATTTGCTACACAAACATAATTGTCCCAGGATCGGCTTCCAGATAAACTGAATGATCACCGGAACCTGGATCATCCAAACATTCGAGCATCTTCTTCCATCCTCCTGACGATAAATCTTTGTCGTACGGTGAATTATTGAGTAAGCCAAGGCGTGAATACCAACCCCGAGGCTTGCCATCCACCGGCTTGAGAATGAGTGCAACGGCGCCCTCTTTGTTGTCCAATGGCTTCGTTGCTACCCACACGGGGAGACAATAGACCGACGTGGATGTGGCAGTGATGTTCTCATCTGGAAAGAATTTCCCGTCCACCTTTTCCCCTTGGACACGAATCTGCAATCTTCCACTCTCCTCTCTAGCGGACGGGTCATGGATAATAAGCTCTGCCTGGAGCACGCTACCTCTTAATCGAAGGTGGCCATCTATCACCTCTCCCGTAACATCAATGTTCGATAGTGGTGTTACGCTGGCTTCCTCAATCTCAACGAGGACACGCTCACGCAGCGGTGTGTGCCAAAGGTTCACGCCCTCATTTGCCTCGATAGAAGCCCACGACCAGGATGGTGCCCTGTAATTCTCAGGCCGGCAACATTTCCCATCAACAATATGGACATACCACAACAGATTAGAGGGGAGGTTGCCCTCCCACAGACCTGCAAGATACCGGTCTTTCAGCGCGCCACCCATGCGTTTGGCGAGACCGCTGATGGCAACAAGCTTATCCGTATCCTTTGTGGTCCTAGTATACCAATACATACGAATCACCCGGAGCCACTTTTCGTAGCAATCCCTCTGGCTGAGACTGGACTCTTGCAGATGTGTAAGCCACGCTTGGGAAGCATCAATATCGAGGTGTTTCACAAAGCTATAATTCATGCTTTTCAAGAATCTTGGAAGACCATCTGGGTACATCTCGCATGATTCCTGCTCGCGGCATTCCCACACCAGTTGGTTGTATGTGAAATGCAACGCCCGCGGTGGCAGTATTCTTTCTTGAAGCACCCAGCCGCGTCGGTTCAATGGCGCGAACAAAGTGTGGTTGTCCCAGAACCACCGAGAAAGAATATAACAGGTCTCTGGCTTTATTCCATCCCACTCGGTGCGAACTGTGTAGTGCAGCAATTCACCTTGGTCTCTGCTCCGGAAGAGACTCTGGTGGCTGTTTCTGCATGCCGTGGCCATCACGTTGAGTGTGCTGTTGCTGTACACTTCACCCATGAGCGCCGCCTCTTTCTGCCAGTCTTCCAAAGAATCCTGGATGATACAGAGGGAATCGATCCATAGATAGCGTATTCCAAGCCTCCTAGCAACTAAGATGGCATCTCTGAATGTCTGAGGAAGACTGGTGGTTCCAATCTTGTTCTGAAATTGGGCCAGGGTATCAGTCGTAAGTTTGATGATGCTTTGTCCACCCCAGCAATGACTGAGAGTTGCGTAGTCTTCCTTGATGGTCTCTTCTGCGGTCATGATTAGCCGCAAATCACTTCCGTGGTAGTTCAAGTCGAGCAGGCGAGTTGGAGAATACGAGAGAGATCTCCGGGATACGTTGCACCTGGCGTGCTTCTCTCGGCAGTCGCTGTACCATTTGCGCGCCTGGTTGAACGACCCTTCGGATCCAGTATGAGGAGTATAGGTATAGCATGCCATGTCATTGCCACTTGGACAGCCATACTCTCGGGCCTCTAAGGAAGACGGGATTAATCGCCATTTGAGCCTGTACTTCAAGTAGAATGGGTGGCATTTTGCGTACTTTCAGTTGAGCGCAAGTGAGTCTCCCAGACAAAACGCTTGCGCCCATCCTCACCCTCTAGAAGCCTTTCCACAGCATAGTAGATGATGATTTCCAGCGTGTATAGCTCCTCCGAGTTTTTCGACAACAGACAGTAGGAAAAAGGCTCATGCCCGACCTGCATCGACAAACAATCAAGCTCGTCCCTGCGCAGAGCAGCTCGCGCTCGAGTACAGATAATGCATCCAGAGTTCGCCGCAGCTTCGAAGGATGCGGCGGAGAAGTGGTGGACAGGGCCTCGATCGCTACTAATCGAGGGGTCTTTGAGCTGCTGCTGGCCGGTGAAGATTGACATGCACTGTGCGCACAATATTTTTTCGTCCTCTTGTTCAGTTGACATCATGTCTTAGGTAGATGAGTTCCCTGGTGTGCTCGCTGATGGCCAAGTTTGCGTTATTATCCTCGATCCAGGAATGTCGCGTCAGCTGTCATCACAAGACTGGCCCCATGTTCTCACGTGAGATCAAAATCCCCAGATAGCAATGAACGAAGAGGAGGCTCCCATCTATTGAGATCTTGCCTAGAGTATGTGTATTTTGGGAGTTGGGCTGGACATCAAATGAGTTATCCCAAGTTGTACCCACACAAGCCAAATCCCACCTGAGTGTAACATCAGGCAATTATTATAGGCATGACACATGCCAATTTGTACGCCCAAAGAAGCCCAATTCACGTATGGTGAGCCCAAAGGGTTGTTCCACGCATTGATTACACAATACACTGTATTAAAGGAGTCTGGCAGCTGGGTGGCATTGAAATTAAGACACCCAAACATTAAGCTACTTATTTTCTAGTCTGTAACCAGTATTCTCGGATTATTGAGTGACATTAATCCATAAATAAGAGGTAATACAGTATACAATGTTTTGCTTTATACTACTGATAGTTTCTATTCATCGTAGAAAGTGGTCTATTCAGCTGCTCTTCCATTGTATGTCTCACTTCTCCTGTCACCCACTTGTCTGGGTAGGCCAGTGTATCTGTCCAACTGTCCCAGAGTTCTTTTCATGAAGCCTTAAACTGTCTCGCCGGCAAGTGTACCATAATGCCTCGTGGCGCTCGTCATACATGTAGTTCCGTCGGGATACGATAGGCTCGCGGGAGATCTGATCCTGTGCTCTCCTCGTAAACGAAAACAATATGTGATGGGGCCAACCGCAAGCCTCAAATAGCTCCTTGTTCTACCCATGGCTTGAGTTTGCTTATCTGCATTCATATTTTTCCTCCTGTCCCGGAGCTCTTCTTTCTGGACTTTGTCCGCAACAAGATGGTCCCCTCACAGATTAAACGTCAATAGCAAGCATACTGTCTTTTCTCTCCTATTTATTAACCTTCATAGCCTATTTCTGCTGTTTATTTAACGTCTGGCCAAGCATGTTTGAGCGGAAATAAGCATCCAACTCATGAACACTTCTGGACCCCTACCACATACTATCTGAAAGGCCTTTGCCAAAATGTTCTCCAGATGGAACAGCTCTCCTACTTCCACGCCAGCAACTGTAGCATATCCAAACAGTAATCGAGGACCTACGACTACTACTTTCATCAGCTAACATGCTGCAGATTGGAGCCGATCCCACCTGGACAGCCTCAGCAAGAATGTCGTGCGCAAGTACGACATCCGTATCATCCCATTAGTTTTCCTTGCCTACACTATATTCTGGCTCGACCGTTCCAACATCGCCCTCGCCCGGGTCAATGGGCTGGAGCAGGATCTGGGACTCCAAAACACCCAGTTCAATGCGTCACTAGCCGTTTTCTTCGCCTTTTACATCCTCCTGAATATCCCGGCCAACATCCTCTTGCGCAAGATCGGGGGAGGCACCTTTCTCCCTGCTCTGATGGTTGCATGGGGAGCAGCCACTCTTTGCTCGGGCTTCGTTACCAACTTTGCCGGTCTCTGCGTCTCGAGAGCCGCAGTCGGCGCCGCTGAAGCTGGTTTTCTTGGCGGTGTTCTCCTCTGGCTCGGCTTCTTCTACACCAACGATGAGATCGTATCCCGGATCGGCATTCTCCTTAGCAGCATGCCACTCTCCGGGTCATTGGGCGGTCTCCTGGCCGGTGGCCTCTCACGAATCCAGACAGGCTCCTACTCTCGATGGCCGTGGATCTTCTTCATCGAGGGGGCCCTGACCATCGTGGTCGGCATCATTGCGTACTTTGTCATGCCCGATACACCAGCCACGGCCTCATTCCTGACGGGCGAGGAGAAGATCGCTGCCAAAGCCCGCATGATCCTACTGGATCACCGGTCCTTTGCCCGGCGCATCGCTTTCGTACCAACTAGCAGCAGCAGCAATTCTAATATCCCAAAATCACGACGCGATAGCACGCATCCAGAAGCAGCCCGAAATGACACAGTAACCACTGTGAGATTTTCCACGACCCTCGATATACCTGCCACCATCATCGGCGCAAGCTCAGTTGACCGGATTCACAAGTCAACCTGGAAACGCGCAGTGCTTCACCCCATCACGCTATTCATGACTGTCGGCTGCTTCTTCACCGTCGAGTCAATATACGCCTACAACCTCTTCGTGCCCACCCTCCTCGTCGAAATGGGTTTCACCGGCGTCAAGAATCCCCTCATGACCGTTCCCCCCAGCCTCTTCGCCTTCCTATACACCATCTGCATAACCCCGTACTCGCAGCGCTCCCGACGGGTCGCCCTGCCTCTCATGGTCTCAGCCTGCCTGGCCACACTAGGCTTCCTCTTCCTCCTCATCGGCAGCTTCGCAGGCGGCGTCGACGGGCAGGGGAAGCCCGTCATCGTGAGACCCCTGCAGTACGCGGGTACGTTCCTCGCCGGCGCGGGCGTCTCGGCCTCGACCCCCCTCGCGATGAGCTGGCTGTGCGTCAACGCCAACCCACATTACGTGCGCGCCATCTCCCTCGGCTTCGTCATCGGCGTCGGCAACTTTGCTGCGTTCCTCGCTAGCTACGCTTATATCAAGACCAGCGCTCCACGGTACGTCCCCTTTCCTTTGTTGGATGAGCTGTTGACTGACTGTTCACCAACTCTAGGTACGTCGAAGGCCATTCTCTCAATATCGCTTTCAACGCATGTCTTCTCCTTGTAGGTGCGGCGAGTCTCTGGTGGATGCGCAGGGAAAATGCCCGTCGGGAACGGGGAGATCGGGATCACCGGCTGCATAATCTACCACCCGGCGTATCCAGAACGGAGCACGAGATGTTTCTGGGATGGGATCATCCACGATTCCGGTTCCATATGTGACATGGAGTCTACAGGGGTGAGAACTGCCGCCAAAGATATAGATATATCGTATTCCCTTTGCGACGTAATTTGCTGTTGGATTCCAGGTGGAGATGCCAGGAGATTGGGATCTCGTATTAACCTCCCGTAATTTGATGTCAAAGCCAGAGAGGCATATCATAATCTTTGTATCCATTGAATCTTTTCTACATAACTTCTTCTCTAGCCTGTCCCTTCCGGTGACGGACGAACACATAACCTAACCCAAAGAATAACACCAATCGGCGATGTTTTTTTCCTACGTCTTACTCAACGCCAGTCCTCCCCCCTCTATATAACATACGAGAGTACCTAGGGGGAGGAAACAGGTCTATCATAACGCAAACAAACAGGGTATCCATAATCCGAAAGGAATATCGAACAAGACCTACAGAAAAACACAGGAAGAAAGAGGGACAGAGGAGCAGGCTAGATGCTCACCAATCTGTCGTTCCCGCTCTGAGCCATCTTCGCCCCTTTCCAAGCGCCTAGCTCGATTCTTCGTCTGGGCGGATACATGCCTCCAACATGATCCTCTCCTTTTCTCTTGTCACTTTATCCTTCTGCGAGCTGTCCATACCGGTTCTGCAGACCCGGGGGGCAAGTATCTCAGCAAATCGCTTCTCAGTCGCGCGGCGCTTTCTGCGAGCTTCTAAGCTAGCGACGACAGCCGTTGAGGGCTGTCTGCGTAAGCTGAATCTGCGCTGCAGAGTGTTTGCTGGTGGTTGAGATTTGTTGACAGGGTTCAGTTCGGCCGAGATGCGAGCGAGGGCTGTGGTGAGGAAGACGAAGGAGATGTTGTGTGTTGGAGAGGCAGCGAGGCAGTCGAGGATCGTGGTCTTAATATCGGAGATTCTAGGAGGTAAAGTTGCTGGAAGGACGGGGGCCAGCCCGATCCAGAGGAATTTTGGGACCAGCCCATCTGTGAGAGAGGAGACAAACCTGACCAGTATCGATGAGAGAGCCTCCAGTTTATGCGACGATGGAGTCTCGATGGGGAATGTTTGCAGAAGGGGTTTGTCTGTGTCAAGTGCCTCGGCAAGACCAGCCAGAAGAGGTTCCAGGACGTCGTTGGAAGCGGTCCAGGTGAGTGGATCCAAAGGCCAGCCAGGGTCTTTCGGGATCTTCATATCTTCAAGCATCGCCGCATCAGCAATACATCGCTCAGTGAGACTTTCCATAGCGGCGATGATATTGAAAAGCTCTTTGGGTGCTGAGAACCTCTGCTCGGCGTCCATGGGAATAGAGCCCTTTATGTGCCACTCTGTGACAAAGCTCCGAATTCCACCGTCTGGCACGCGGATGAGTTCATCGACAGACCTGCCGAAGCACGAGGGTAGCCAGTCGCCTCGAACGGTGATGAAATGATCTTTTCCATCCTCAACGCGCATGATAAGGACCTCTTCGATGGTTGCTTTCCCGCTATTCAAATCGCGAAGGACGCCGTTGGATTTCACATGAACCGTCAAGAGGGCGAAGATGGTCTCTCCAGGCTCCAGGGTCACAGACTTGGCAAGAGGCTCACCGCTAGTATCAGCATGCCCGGTGTGGTCTGACCGCGCAAAGGCGGTTGTCAGCCACTTTGAGGAAGGCTTTGGCGTACTTTCGGCGTTCTCATCAACACCATGAGGGTTGTCAACAAAAGAAAAAGTTGCCGGCACGCCTCCCGTATTGGCGATGGTCATATAGCGGGTCTTGCTATCGAGATACTGGATGTCACCCATGTCGACAACATTCTCACCCGAATCTTTGGTTTCGGCCACGACCGTAATACTCGGACGCCCCTCGTTCTCCGCGCGGTCTAGTTCTCTGGCTACTTCGGAATGAATGAAAGCTTTGAGCTCAGGGACTACGGCATCATACTGGATGGAGAAGCTAGCGCTGACTGGTTTGTGATCCGAGGATGTGATGCGCTGGTGTGAAGTGTAAAACTCCAGAGTAATTGGGTCAGTATGCTCGCCGCCCTCGCCGTCCTCATTCTCGTCGTACTCATCATATTCGTCATATCCGGTAGTTGACAGCTTGTCTGCAGGAACGATATCTTCTGCTGGGGGAACGTCTTCTCCATCGGCATCGGGGTCATACGTGAAAAGGACGTCTTCATCATCCTCAATGCCCCTTAGCTTCATCTCTGCATCCTTTTTCTCGACCTCCTTTTCCTCAGCTGCCTTCTTATCGTATGCCGCTTTGTCTCGGCGCGTCCGATACAGCACACGGTCACACCAACTGGGGGCCCTCTGTTTCTCGCTCGTGTCAAATAATCCTACTGTGCCCAAGTCGTATTTATAGGTTGGGAGAAACGAGATTGGCCCCTCTCTCCAGCCGTCGTGGAACGCTTTTTTACTCCTAATCGTTTTTGCGAGCTGGTCATGCGGAAGGAGAGAGTTCAATGTTGCCTGCAGTGAGGTGGGATCCTGGCTTGGGTCCTCTGCGAAATCATCAGGGTCGGGAAGCGTAGGAGATGGCTCGAAACTGGGATTCTCGAAACTAGGATTCCTCGATGGTTGTGATGAAGCTACCGTAGTCGCATCATCCTCAGTGTCTGAGTCGCCGATGATGATGATGCCTTCCCCTTCCGGCGCCGAGATATCATCCCTATCATCTGCCGGGGCATACTCTCCTCTAGCGTGGAGGGTTAGAATCCTCCTGATATCATCCCCTGGTAAGCCATCAAGTCGGTAGTTGAGATCCCCAAACCAAAACACAAAGTCTTCATCACCGATGCCATCACCGACGTCTTCCTTGACCCCAGACGTCACGATGGGGTCGAATTGGGTCTTTTGAACAATCTGCGCAGCATCTGCGCACCGTCTTTCCAAATTAGCAGGCGTCACGCCACTAGCGAGATGACTATTCAAAAACACCAAGCTTGTCGTCTCCCCAATAACGAGTCGGGTGGAAATTGCGCCCTTGTTGGTGAACCAGCCCCCTAATCCTGTGCCAACCTGCTTCGTGCTTACATTGGTGACGGTCGGTGCGATTTCAGAGCTGGCGTAGATGAGGAGCAATATACCAAACATCTGCTCTGCGACAACAAGCTCATACCCCTTGGGCAACGCCGCTTCTATCGCCGACTGCCACTTGATGGTCGCAGACTTGTCGGTATACACTGCGCGAGCCATGTACTCCTTGGTCATGTTCAGATCGACCACCTCCTGGAGACCCAGCACATACAGCCCAACCTCGGTTCTCTGGGTACGCGATTCCCTAACAGCGGTAGCCTGTGATAGATCGAGAACGTTCAGGTCCTTATCAATGCCCTCGTTATCCAAGAACCAGGTGGCCAGGTCCTTGTCGGTCCCTGGGCATGCGGCCACATTCCACGTCCCAATCTTGATTCTGACACTGCGCGGCCGAACATATTCCTTGCGACGGGCAATCAGCGCCCTCGATAACGTATACGGGGTCGAGAGCTCTACTGGATCGGACTGGACAGAGGGGTCTGCCGGCGGGGCAGTGGCTGGCGGTGGATCGCTCATGCTTTTGGAGCGCCTCGAGGAGGAGGAGGACAGGGCGAGCGAGAAGAGAGAGGAGCGGGAAGAGCGAGAGTGAGGGCGAGGCCCTTTGACGTCGGATCTGTTCCTGGGTCCGGGCTTCTAGACCATGGTCGTGAGGCCGGCTGGCCGTTGTCGACGAGGAGCGCACACGAGCAGGCGGAACCGTGAGCGAAGCGCTAGCAAGGGACCGGAGGGACTTGCGTTGTTCTGGCAGTTGGACTACTATACAATGGATGACAAAGGCGAGTAGCGACGGGAACTGCGAGCTCTAATATCTACCATTCCCGGCTTGAGTGGCGGGTGGATGATCAAGCAAGGAACGCCTCTAGCGCGGCAATTGGGAGGGCGTCTCAGTCCGTGACGTAGCCACTTTTGCCGCAACGAATGTATGTATGTCGGTAAATAAATGTGAGAGATGCAGATGATACGGCAGATGGTCCTCCAATGCTGTCACATTGGCAGAGCTTAGGTAAACCTCCGCTCCCGCCCTGACAAGGAAGTTGATGGCATGGCCCGTTGCATTGGATTTGATTACAGTGGGAGAGTGCCCGAGTCTTAGTGCGTCAGTGCGCTGCGGGAGCTCTCCGTCACGGGCCTCGGCGCCCAACCCCTGCCACTGCTATCAGTTATCACAATCAGTGCATCACCACCCAGCTCTGGTGTGCTTGCCCAACGTCCATACGCATGTCCAACCTCATCTACACAACCTCCAGCCCAACAAGCTCTCCAACTTCTCGAAAGCAGTCGAGTCTGTCTCACCCTTTGTACCAGACACTGCGTGACTAAGAGACGCTACCCCAGACTCTCTTTGTGAACCCAGTCGGCGCCATCGTGTGCAACCGTCGCCAGCCAGCACCAACCACCAAACACAACCAACCAGACAAACAGACCACCAGCCGCCTCCCACCTGCTTGCCCACCTCCCTCTCTCCTTCTCTCTCTCCCCTCTCCTCCCCTCCCTCTCCCCTTCTACCCACAATGAGCAAAGCAACGCCTCGCCGGTCACGGCACAACCGCCACCCCTCCAACCGCATCCCCGCCATCTCCGACTACGAGTCCGACGCCGCGCAGATGCAGCCCGAGTACGACTACGCGCCGCCGCCCCCCACGCGGACAAACACCGAGCTCAACCTCGCCGTCCTCCAGCGCTACCTCCCCTCCATCCGCACCATCCTCAGCATCGCCGCCAGCGCCGTCATCTACACCTTCGCCCCGGCCGAGCAGCGCTGGGACAAGTCCGGCGTCGAGGGCACCATGTTCGTCTGCGCCCAGAGCCCCCTGCCCGACGACCCGGCCCAGCGCCCGCGGCTGTGCGTCTTCGTCCTCAGCCGCCGCGGGCTGGAGAACCTCGTCGTCGACCTGGCGTGCGTGAGCCACGTCGAGGTCATGGACGAGCTCGTCATCATGCGGGTCGAGGACGACAGCTCGACTAGGAGGGGCGAGCAGGTCCTCGGCGTGTGGGTGCACAACGACAAGACCGAGACGCGGGATGTCAATGCCGCCGTGATCCAGGAGAGCTGGAAGGCCGCGAGGATGGCTGGGCGGACGGAGGACCAAGGGCCTGAGCTGGGTCCTGCCATGCAGGCGATTGGGAGCGAGAGCAGGTTGACCATTGATGATTTGTTCCGGAGCCAGGCCGAAGCTCGTGCTTCACATGGAGGCTAATGATATGTTTACTCTGCGAACGGGAATTGGAATAATGAATTGAGGGGTAGGAAAATGATTGGGTCCCTACTTCTGAGCCCAATGAGCTTTATGGTACGTATGTGCTCTCCTGCTCTGTTTGGCTTTCCATGATATTTAAACTGGCAATCAATGGGACATGGAATTAACACATGGCATACAGATACCGGAATGGGTTGCTTCTATGAAAGAGCATTACAGGGATAGCGCGGCACGTAATCCAGTTATAATTGTGCTACACATAGATCAAATAAAAATCTATCAAACTGCCCATAGAAAGACAGGACCGCGAAAAAAAGGGAAGCAAAGAGAAAATATAGATATATATGTCTTTGTCTACAAGGGGTTGCTTAAACAAAGCATCAAATAAGAAACCCAGGCCATACGCCGTTCCAAATCACCATCCAATCCGACTGACACATGCAGTCATTAAACATTCAATTCGCTCCTTTTGTGCCCCATCCTAAAGTCGTCTTATACCGTTCCACTGATGGTCAACTCCCGGATCTCCTGAAGCACCTCTTCCACTCTTGCGTCCAGCTGTCCATCTGCGTACTGATCTCTAGTGTCTGCGTCCAGGTACTGCTGCACCTGAGCCATACGCGAATACGCCTCCGCGCAGAACCGCAGCTGAATCTTGACGAGGGCTTCGAAGCTGGGGTCGAGGTAGGGCACACGTAGATCGATGAGCTGGGGCAGCTCCGTGCTCAGCTGCTCGTTGAGGTTCTCGTACGCCAGCCTGGCCATCTCGAGCTCCTTCTCAGTTCGGGGGAGCTTGGTAGCGTCCTTGTCCGGCTTCTCGGCCAGGCGCTTGACCTTGGCGCGCAGGGCGTCGTAGTCGAGGAGCTTGTGGGAGCGCTTCTTGATGGCTTCGTTCACGTCCGGGAAGTAGGCGCAGAATCGGGCGATTGGGTCGAGGACGGTGCTCCGGTAAGGCCCATCCAGGGCTTTGATGGTCTCGGCGTCGAGGTCCTCCACCGCCTGCTTGTAACTCCGGCTCACGCCGTCCGTGGCTCCCGAGTCGCCGTAGAAGGCGTCTATCGTTTCTGCGATTCGCATTTGTGAGGCGGTCATCGCTACAGAAAATCAAACATCAGTCCGAATCTCTTCAATCCCGTCTCTCAGCGTTGGCCAAACCTACCTCTCAGCGAGTCGAGATAGCCTTTGGATTCCTTCTGTAGCCTCATTGCGGCAGCCTCCATTGTCTTGAATCGTCTGTATATTACGTTAGGGGCGTATTCTCGATTCGTGCGCTCAGTTTCTATCCGTACCTCTCTTCCACCTCATAGTCACGATCATTCGTCTTCTCCACATGCCCTGATTACTCCCCTGCGTCAGCACAATGCTCCCGTGTCTGAACTCCGGGGCCTCCAAGATCACTCACCCGTCTTCATCATCACCTGCGTAGTCGCACGGTTCACATTCTTCTTGAACCCTATCTCTGCTGTTAGCATCCGGCCCCTCCTCATTGCGGGGTGCTCGTCATTGCCTACCCGCCCACGACATCTTGATGGTATCAACGAAGGAGCTAAAAAACGGTCTCGGTCAAAATGTACTGCCGTGTTAAGTGTCGCGGTAAAGCCTCGAGGCGCTCGTAGAATGCTGCGTAGAAGTATGAGGACTAGAAAACTTGGCCCGAGGGTGGTGACGACTGCGTGCAAGATAATAATGCTGGGCAGCTTGGAGAAGATGGGGCGCAGCCACACTTAGTCGTCTTTGAATGGCTGCGGCCATCGACGTCAGTGATGGGGCGCAGCTTGTGGCTCCGGCGCAGCCGCAAGATTCATTTTTCCGGGAGCGAAGCGTCGTGTGGTGCGTTGCTGGCGAATCACGTGCCTCAATCCCAGCTTTCTGAAATCTCGGGCTTTGGCTGGCGGTTGTTCGCATATTGGCTTGTATATGTATAATTTTCTCTCATTTCTTGTCTCTCTTTAGACTTTACAATGTTTAATCCTCGGTTCCTCGTCGTCAGTCTTGGGAACCCATTACCGAAATATGCGAGTCTGCATTCAGCAGGGCATTTTGCCCTGAGAGGCCTTGCTCCCATCATACAACACCCAGACTTCAGGGAGGTGAGGATGGGAAAACAGACCGCCCTGGTCTCACAAGGCCCTAAATATACGCTCGTACAATCTCCCACCTTGATGAACATCTCTGGTCCTTTTATCGCTGGGGCGTGGAATGAAATGCTGAAGCAGCATGATGCGTCTTCATTATCATTGGTTATCGTGCATGATGAAATGGAGAAAGGACTCGGCATCGTCAAGTTAACAGCATGGGATCGAAGTCACAAGGGACACAATGGAATCAAGAGCATCAAAGCACATTTATCTGAAGATAAATTTCCCGAATCGCCTTTCGTGCGGATTGCCCTGGGCATCGGTCGCCCCAAGTCGAGAGAACCGCAGGATGTTAGTGATTATGTTCTCCAGCCAATCTTACCTGAGAAGCGGCAAATTCTCGAGGAAGAGGTCCCATGGGAGGTTGCAAAGTGTTTGAAGATTCTAGAGAAGGAGTGGAAGCAGGAGTTAGGGCGGTGAGGGACGACAAACCTGCAGTGAGCTTAATGATTTAGACCAGAGCACCACTTATGGTTGCTTCGACTGTTCTCAACAGTGTATCAATACCAACACCGGCACTTATTCCTTACTACACACATTCGGCAACTTGGAGAAGCCTGCGTGGTGTTTTCCAAAAGTTATTCCGGGGAAAGCGGCGTATCTTCTTATCAGACCGACCTGTTGACTGGCGGGATCCCAAGGTCTCTCTCATTGAGTGTATTTGGAAGATTGAATGAAGTCGTCGAGTCTGGGTAGAAGTTTTTTGCGTTCCTTATCTTCGGGTTTGGTGTGCCGATAAAGGTTGCTTACCGCCGGAATTTGGCGAACAAAACGACACATGCATCCTTATCTAACCTAACCTACTCAAGTTCTACACGAGTAGGCCGATATGGTCAAACATCAGCCCAAAGATGTTTCCGGTTTCGGCCGTGAGTAATCTCGACTTGGTTCGGTTATTGGAAATGCCTTGGGGGCGGATACCCGCTTGCTGTATGGGACGCGGCACGTTGGGCAGTAGGTCGAAGGGAGCTGATAAACGACGCAGGCTTGGCCTAGCAAGAGCAATGCTCATGCTAACTGGGGTCACTCGTGTACTCCTCTCTCGTTGTCGGTTGCGGGTACCCTGCTGTGCAGTTCCCAGTCTCAAGATCAGGTCCTTGGGAAGCCAGAGTCGATGGCGGGACACATCCCTCCTTATATGCTCAGATCCGTCCCAGTCTCCCGCGCTGGTCTTACGGGCGCCCCCGCGAACCTAATTGCACTGGCTTGCGGGAATCTCGCATCACGACGCCCGCAAGAACGTGTTTCTCTGCGATCAGGCAGGGCTGTGCGGGCGTTGGATGGCACAAACGCTTGCACTGGAGAACTCAACGGTCCGGGGGGTGGACCTGTGCCTGCTGCAGGGCGTCCCTGTGCTTACGCCGTATGTCGAGCCGCTGGGTCATTTCCCTCTGTGGGCTGCGGATTGTGGATTCTGGTTTCTGAGAGGTCGCATTATCGAAACCGCTAAGGCTCAATGACATCAAACTATTCATGGCTGCAATCATATGGCACGATTGGGTGTTGATGAGTGAGCGCTGCTCAATTGACGCCCATCTCCGTCCATACCCCAAATCGGTAGTTGTTCGCCGTGGCCCAGAGACCATACCAATAAGGTGTCGCACTTCACATGCACATCCTTCCTCACACAGGACTCTAGGCCGGCTGATATCGAGTTGGAGGTTTGGGTTTGGGTTGGATGGTGGGGATGCACAAATCAAACCACACGCCCCTCCCTTGTCCTTCGAGTCATCTTAGCGGAAGGGGTTTGGCACTAAAAGAGGGACCTAGCCAGCGCCAAGAGATAAGGGAAGATTTACTGGGAGCCTCTTAGCGGCAGAGCATTTCTCATCCGGAAACCGTAGTGCTGGACGGAGGGAATCTTAGGCTGAACTAAGGGACCTACTGATACGATGCTGATAAGTTGGTTTATTTGACGTAAGAGGATGCTCTCTCGAGAAGAGTGATGTTTGTATTTGCGCATCGCCGTCGCTAATCACAGACACTCCGATGCTCCGCATTCGTGCTGCAGAATACGATAGTCGTATTTGCCAAGGCATTCCCCGTTCTTTATGTAGATGGGAAAAGGGTCAGATGAGACTCTGCCATGCGATTTTTCCTTTGCCTGACGTGGGGGGATTCACGCTGGGGTCATCAACTCAAAGGACCGTGCTCATATAGGAGTTCGTCCACTGCGCGGGAGAAAGCCGTCAGCATATTGCCCAAGCGTCGGTTTTCTTTGCCGGAGAAGGGAGGAGGATGAATATTATAGCTCATTTGAAGGATCTGGGAAATTCATCGGAGCTCGTTGCGTATGCTGTCCGCGAGTGACCATGCCCCATGCCATGCCATGCCGTGCTACCTCGCCCATCACCCGGCAGGCACAGCGCAATGCAATCCTCTCATCCTATCTATCATACCACTGAAAGATCTTCAACGATTCGTTTGCACTAAGGCTGCCAGCGATTGGATGGGCATTTTAAGCTTAAACAACCAGGAGGGCTGGGAGTTTTCCATTACGTACAACAGCCATTCTGATCATGATGATCATCGTTGCTGTCTTGGACTTACCAGCCGGTCGGTTTCTGAATGGTTGACGATCACGGTCCAGCAACGGCGGCCTTGGCAGCAGCATGATTTGGGCGTTTCCGGCGGTAGTTGGCGGGGATCACAGGAATCCGCAGCCAGAGGTCTTGAAATTGAGCCACTCAAACAGCGACAGGCAGACGGTGCTCAGCAGAGATAAGAAAGTCTGGGGTTTGAGATACAGGTCCATTATTTGCCTGAACTGGCGATCGATCACTGGGCAGCAGCAGGGATGCGGCTGTGACGGGCATCAGGGAGGGGGCGTGCTCGCAAGGATTGGCCTGTAGGAAGCTCCAT